TTATACCTGCCAGAGGGTGGAATAGTAATCCCAGTAAAATTGACAATCTCAAGATTAATACCAAACGGCATAACTAATCACACCATAACTAATCCCAAAACCAAACGGCCCCTTAGTGACTTGAATTTCCAACATAATGTTGTCTTTCACAATCAAAGCTCAATGTGTAACTTACGTTTAAATAATCCTACGATAGGACTCCGTGAATACTTTTCTCAAACTGATGAGAGGGCTGCTGCTCCAAGAATTCCAGTTATGGTTAATATGACCTCACCATCTATCTCTTCCAAGAAGAGCCAAAAACAGTCTCATCATCGTACTCCATCTTTAGACCAAATACGCGCTGCAAATAGAAATGCATCGATGATGGATGAGTACTCTGATGAAGACGAAGATTTTCAAGGCACTGATCAAGAGGTATGAACTATATATATACTTTAGCATATTATTTTCAGTAGGTTACTTTACCATTAGGTTAGGCTGTCTACCTTTGAGGTGCGGCCTTTCCTCGGACCCTGCGTCAACGCGGAATGCCTTTTGGACCGGGCTGCCCTTTTTTAGCATATTATTTTCAGTGTCGCCTTCTGAGCATGTGCTTGGACTCCTTGTAGGTATCATCACCCGGGCTTGACCAAGACACGATTAAAACTGGTAGGTGTTTGAACATAGCTTTATTTGTAATTGATGTTTCGCGAATTCTTTACTGAAAATCTTTTTGTACTTATGAAGCACTTGAAGAAGAACCTCTGGACCAAATTGATTTGTCCACTTTTTCGGGTAATCTTCGACGAGATGAGAATGACAATGGTCGCGACTGCTGGACAATATCGGATGGAAAGAATTTCAGACTTCGTGGCAAGAATTTTTGCAGTGACAAAACAAAGGTCCTTATCTCTTGTTTCCCTTATAAGTTGTTGGTTTTAGGTTGATGGTCTCTTTCATTTGCTCTAATATCACTTTGCAAATTATCTATAAAGGTTCCAGCTGGTAAACCTCTCATGGATCTCGTCGCTGTTGACTGGTTCAAAGATACTAAACGAATGGACCATGTCGCTAGACGCACTGGTTGTGCAGCACAAGTAATACATTTGAGTAGTTTCAAGGGAATGTCAACATATTTAGCAGGCGTTTGGACAATATTTTGTTGAAGTTTAAAGGGTGTCCATGTTTCTATTTTTGCTAGGTTGCTACAGAAAAAGGACTCTTTTCTTTGGTTATAAATTTGCAAGTAAGTGATTTCTCCCCTGCTTTCATTTTTTGATTCAATGTTTCAAGTCCTACAGAAAGAAATAAATAGACAACATTTCTTCTCTGAAGGTACCTGGATCAACACACTACAGCATGATTTTCTATTTTGTCATGAAAAAGTTAATACCTGGTTCGCTATTGCAACGGTTTGTTGATGGAGATGATGAGTTCCGGAATAGTAGAATGAAGCTAATCCCATCAGTGCCAAAGGTATCTTTATATTTCTTTAAACTATCTGGAAGAATACCTTCTATTTGTAGAATGTTAATTAGATGACAGTAGTATTATGGACAAACACCAAATAACAACAACAATAACATACTGTGTAATCCCATAAGTGGGGCCTGAGGAAGTTAGTATGTTCGCAGACCTCACCCCTATCTTGTGAAGATACATAGGTTGTTTCCATAGATCCTCGGCTCAAGGAAAGCAAAAACAAAATTCAGTTGGTTCCATTATACTAGCTATATGTTGTGAATTAACAACAAATCCTATGTATGGCGGCAAGATGGTATCTTGAGTAGTTACATTTCCAAAAATTCGAGTTCCTTTTGGATCCTTCTTGATTAATATAACAACAGCAGCATTATTATCACTATCGTATTATCATCCCATAGTCATGTTATTGGCAGCTCGGTGTCATAACAAGTTTGATCTAGTTCATTCATGTCGCCAAAGACCGAGCCAGAATTTGAAGTTTATGAGTTCCGCCACCAAACTCATAGTTCGTCGTCATTACTGGGTTCGTAATTAAATGTTTATACCTATTTAATGGATTTCCTAACACAAATACATGATCTAACACAAAAGCTATTTGGTTCATCCGAAACCGTACCTACTAGCTCTGCCCCTGCATGTCACCTCTTATATTCTGTTGAAAAGGTGAATAAGCTGAGATTTGTGGGTAATATTTGAGAGGTTTAGTTTTCTTTTATATAGATGTTAAAGTTTTCATCTGATTAATCCTAACCATCTGCTATATTCGTCGTCCATCTTCTTCTGAAACTCTCTTGGCTGTTTGCATTTGTGTAGAAATTTACTGTTATCATGCATCTTGCAGGGATCGTGGATTGTGCGTCAGAGTGTAGGAAGTTCCCCCTGTTTACTGGGGAAGGCAGTTGATTGCAACTATATACGCGGTCCCAAGTATTTGGAGGTGAAGACTCCTACCCTTTTTCCTTTTGAGCATAGCACATAGAGACACAATACAAACAACAACTACTAAGTCTCAATCCCGAGCAAGTAGGGGTCAGTTATATGAATCCCCACTGTCACAGTCACTCCATTTAAGCCTGTCTCTGTCCAATATCATAAAACTTCAGTTTCTCCGACACTAAAAGTTATGATGTCGGATTTGATTTCATATGTTGCTTGCATTCTTGCAGATTGATGTTGATGTTGGTTCTTCTACTGTGGCAAATGGAGTAATGGGGCTTGTCATTGGCGTAATCACGACACTAGTAGTTGACATGGCTTTTGTTGTACAGGTAAGTGGATAGAGTAATTACGACATGTTATCTTTTAGCTGATCTAATAGTATAAAGATTCTTATAAATTTTCAGTGTATAGTTAAACTCTTGTATGTTGCCACAATCATTGACGTCTTTGGAAATTTTCTGTTAGGGCAACACCCCTGATGAGTTGCCGGAGCCGCTTATAGGCGCGGCACGTGTTTGTCATATAGAACTGTCATCTGCTGTTGTACCAAAGCTGGAGTCTGATACATCGACATAATAAGTCATATCATGACTGTTTACCAATTTTGCGGAAGGTGATTTTTGAAGATATGTATAATTTACTTGCATGCATTTCATTCATAATTTTTTCATTTCTTTACTCTCATTTGAGTATTCTTTAAGCTCTGAGAAAATTATATGGAGCCAAGTTTTGTATAGTAAATGTAAAGGGTGGTATTTATAAGGTCTTTTCTGATAAAAGCTATAATTCTTTCTCTTCCTTTTGTGTATTGATTCGGGTTTGATAACCTGAAGTTCGTGGATTGACCTCACTTGTGGAATTATACTGTGTTTGTTGTTGTTGTTGTTATTGTTGTTCGTAGATTGTCATTGCTTGAAAAAGTTTCAAAGGATCCTACAACAATCATTTTTCATTAGGTTAAGACAAAAAATCGCCATATCTTTGGAGCTCCTTAGCGGAATGGTAAGAGTTGCCTATGTATGACCAAGATGTCACAGGTTCAGGTTCACGCCCTAGAAAGAGTCTCTTGTATAAATGCAAGATAAAACTGCGTACAATAGACCTAGTGTGGTCCGGTCCTTCTCGGCTTGCTTAGCCTAGTTACCTTGCAGAATAACTATGGGAAAATTTCACATTAAGAACAACTGGACTCCCTACTTTTCAATTTTATAGCCCATATTTCAATTTACAACAAACAACCCAAAAATAATAGGCTAAGATTTAACATCCAACTCCAATAGGTTCTCGAAATTACTATTTAATTTTTAAAAAAGATTGCTCAAATTTTTAAGTTAATTTTCGAATTAGTAACTGTGACTCAAATATTAGTTCAACAAACTAAATCCATTTGGGTGGTGAAAATTAGATTTTTAACAAGCTTATATATGTGGGTTTAAATTCCGAATTTGATTTTGTGAGAAAGTTGAAATGAGTGTTATTTAGACTTGTTAGAAATAGTATAAGGAGGTTGTATATAAAATTTGAAGTCATTTAATGGAGATTTGGACTGGTTTTGAACAAGAATTGCAAATGAAAATCGTGGAAGAAATTCGTCTATGAACGCTTGTATAAAGGTGTATAATAGTGTATAAAATGTGTTTATACACTCAAATACACTATTATACAAGATTATACATAATTATACAAAAAAATGACTTCGTCTTCTCCCTTGCGTCTTTTCTGAAATTTAGCTCAAATCTTGCTCAAATCTACTCCAAATCACTTCAAATTTAAATGTTAAACTCCTTTTGATATTTTCAATCAATTGGAACACCACCCAATCCAAACAACTAACAATCTCAAAAAATCCTATTTTCGAAAGCAAACCTTTGAATGGCCTTCAATGGTGGACTTCTACTCTTCAATTTTCTTACATTGCAACCAGGTGACACAGGGGGAGAAACAGAAAATACACGGCCCCTTGAAGCATATGTAGAAGATGTGAGAAGAAGAAATAGTGAAAGCAATGGTTGTGAGTACACAATGTTAATTCCATAGCTTTTAGAAGAAATAGTTGTACAAACACATGTTTTGAATTTGCTAGTGCTTTAAAAATATGTACAATATGAGCTAAGTTGGGTAAAACTTAAAAATATGGGTTATTTTTTGTTATGGTGTGAAGTCACGTGTATTTTCTTGTAATTCTTGCAATAGCTATATCTTTACATTTCATTGATTGTTGTAGCTACCTTTTAATCTTTACTGAAACCAAACATAATCTGTAACCAGAAAATTTTGTATGGGGCAAATGGACCTTGAATATCAAGCTTTCTACAATAATAGTAATTTTAAGACTTCATATATATATATTTATATGTATTCGAGAAATTTGGGATAAGCGATAACTACAACTGCAAATACCAAAAATGAGCTGATTATAAAAAGGAGAAGTTATAAAGATCAGAAAACAGGATGATATAAAGAGGTTTTGGTAGTTCATTGATCAATAATCAGTCAATCAACTAAGAGTCTAATCCCAATCCCAATCTAGTTGGGACCAGCTATTTGTATTCATTCCGATGAACGACGGTTCAAATTACTAGTAATANCCGATGAACGACGGTTCAAATTACAAGTAATAGGAATGGTGTACTCATGGATCAATAGTAGCTCTGAATTGGCGAATGAAGAAAGAATGTGATGAATGTGCACTCAATTTTGCAAGACAACAATGTCATCAATTGGAGGCTTTAAGAATGAGAAATTTGGTGGCAATTTAATAAGAGGCTCATTTCCAGTTAGCCTCTGGAAGGCAAGTCCAAGTGCATACCCGAGCGCTCGCCCAACAGGAACTGCTACAGCATTCCCAACTTGGCAATATCTACACCAAATGAAAAACACGATGAAGAAATACTTGTAAAAGGTATAAGATATAAGGAATAACTTGAGTAGTTTGACTCATATGATCATGTGAATGACATCAAACCAAAATATGTTGGGAGGAATCAATTGCTAATGGTTAACTCTTTACCACTTCTTCATTTTTAATGGTAAATATTGTTAACTCTTTACCACTTTTGAGATGTACACATAAGAGAAGATCTTGGCTGCAATTACTTCAATAAGATCCAATAAATTACAACAGTGACTAAGTTCATTCCACAATTTAATGTTAGTGCATTAACAATTTAGTAATAATTCGCAACACCCCTTCCACGTAGCTACTTTTCCCATTTGAACATCATTCTCTTGTATTTTGGTCTTGTCGAAAGGAGAAAGATTATGCAACACAACTCAAAAAATTGGTTTCAAATATAATAAAAAACACAGAGATATTTCTCTCATAGAGACGAACACTGCATTTATATATGTTTTCTTTTCATTGCCTTAAGATCTTTAATTAGTAAAGATAATTACTTTCATCAGAAAACAAGATACCTTTCCTTGGGAGTGCCAGAAAACCTATAGAAATCTGGAAAACCTTGCAATCTTGCATACTCTCGTATAGTAAGAACACGATCCTGCTCTGGGTGTAAGACCGCCTGAAAAATATTGAAAGCTCAGAAAAGCCTACAAGTTCTATATTGCATATTTTATTGTAAGAATAACACCTAGACTAAGGGTAAATTTTACAGTAATCCGACCAACTATGTTGTACGGGGCTGAGTGTTGGCCAGTCAAGAACTCCCATGTGCAGAAGATGAGAGTATGAGATGAGGATGTTGAAATGGATGATTGGTTTTACCAGGAGAGATAAGATTAGGAATGAAATTATTCAGGACAAAGTGGGAGTGGCCTCCGTGGAGGACAAGATGCGGGAGACGAGGCTAAGATGGTTCAGGCATGTTAAGAGGAGAAGGGCTTGAGAAGAGATCGAGGTAAGCCAAAGAAGTACTGGGGATACATGATTAGGCAAGACATGGCGCTGCTCCACCTTACTAAAGACATGACCCTTCATATTCTTAGATTTATATTACATTATGTTGTTTAGTTCGCCTCAGTTATCGTATTTCCTTGTTACTAATTGGTACTAATTCTTTTTCTCCTCTTTTTCTTCTCTCTTCCTTTTCTGCTTTTTCCCCTTCCTCTTCTTCTTCTTCTCCTCCTCCCTCTTTTTCTTGTTCTTCTTCTTCTTCTCACCTTCTATGAGCCGAGGGTCTATTAGAAACAGCCTCTCTACCTTCACTAGGTAGATGTAAGGTTTGTACACACACTACCCTCCCCAGTTTTTTGTTGTTGTAATAACACCACAAAGTACATGGGCACGATGATTAGGAAACGTCACTAAAGTAGCTATTGTTTCATCCCACCACAATCTTGCATATGGCCTACAAATTCAACAAGGATTTAGTATATATATTGGATATTATCAATTAAAGGGAGATATAAGAGCAAGCATAACAAGCTTCTAAGGAAACTTGCATTACCTTTTAGATTTTCCATGTTCAAAATTGAAGGCACAATCAGGAACCTACATTTCACAAGAATGATTCATATTAGCATGAATGACACGTTATTACGATAACTTACAAAATTCATCATAATAAAGTCAGTACTTTTTAACAGAACAATAGTAACAAATAGCCTACCATGGGCTTTCCATTTGGTAGCACCTTTGGATCTTCTGTATCACGACGAGCCACATTATCCTTTCCCACAATTACACCAGGGAGGTCCCTGAAGTTTTCTCCCTACAATGGAAATATGTTAAGGGGCAAACATCTGAAAAACTTATTTTCAGTAACACAACCACCGTCAAACCTTTTTATGTGGGACGAGACAAACTCGTAAGTAATCGTCTTCTGCTAATTGGCAAGGCCGATGATCAGACAAAACAGGATCTTTGGTTTCCGTATCTCTAGTTGATGAACACCCCACTATCTCTGAAGGAGTAAGAAGGAACCATTTCCACATGTAAAGGATAAGCATTCAGCTCATAGACACTAGCATGAATAAATTATGAACCTGAATTCATTCCATAATTTTAAGTATTAGACTAAAATTTGAGAAACTATATTATGAAATCTACTAACAACAATGGTTACATAGTATTTTTTAATACTATCAGAGAAACAAACATCTTGAAGCCAAAGTGTCAGATAAACTGGGAGAGAGGGAACATCAGTTTATTTGTTCGAAGTTTTTGAGTAAGTCTTTTCATGCCTAGTGAAGAGGTCAAAGGATGAAAAAAAAGGCAAGTAGACCATGTACCATCTTATGGTATAATTCGTTGGACGTTCATATATTCTTCATTTTAACAACTGTTAATCAATTCTCTTAGTTTCGGATGACGGTTACTTGAACATAACTCTCTATCATACACCATGAGATATTTGGAATGTGAACCAGGAAGCATTTCAACTTTTTCATAGAAATGACACCAAGTAGCCACTATAAAGTGTTGCTATTTAGGAATTATCCGGTGCGTCCTGAATTTCAATTTTTCAGTTCAATTTTTCGGGACAAAAGTGTTCTGGATTGTCCTGAAGTTTGGATTTTTAGTTTAAAATTTCAGGACAAAAAAAGTGTTGGCTAATCTCTAAATAGCATTCCTGAGAATGGCTATCTCTGCACTTGCCCCTCAAATTTCAGCTCAACATTCCTTGAGAAATATGTAGCGAAAATCAAATTCCTCATATCATACTAGAGTATGGTGTTAGCATTAAGATTTTGGCATGCAAAGTAGCAAATTTTACTAATGTGTGCAGTGTACCTAAAGCACCATTGTTACACCGTAAAATGTAGATAATATGATTATCCAAGTATTTAAGCAATTGTAATACCATTGATCATCTTATATTCACTTAAACAACTTTAAGAAGTCACCCTTTTTAACAAGATAGAAAATTAGAGTACTAAGAAACTCATATTGGACACCACCCCATAAATTGCGAGGGCCATAAAGCTAATATGTTGTTAGTTTGTGTGTGTTCTAAATCGACAACTGCTTTAGATACTAAAATTTGATGCTAAATTTTTCAACTTTTAAAATCTTACCGTACCCACATTGCATATTCACATCATGTGCCCAAAGCCTTAATATTTAATTCTCTTTATACCATTCCTTAAGTCTTTGTTCTAACAGCTTGAATCATTTCCTCACGCTTCCAACCAAAAGTAGCCACCCCCAGTCTTCAAATCACTCATCAGAGTAATGTTAATTTAAAATGCTGAGTCTTAACATTGCATATTCACATCATGTGCCCAAAGCCTTAATATTTAATTCTCTCTAGACCATTCCGTAAGTCTTTGTTCTAACAGTTTGAATCATTTCCTCACACTTCCAACCAAAATTAGCCACCCCCAGTTTTCAAATTACTCATCAGAGGAATGTTAATTTAAAATGCTGAGTCTTTGACAGAAAGAGCAATATACATACACAAAACACACAAATAAGAAGAAATTGATTTAGAAGCCAATACAATCAAATAAAAGTTCTTAGAAAAATATTAGAGAGCAAGTAATATGAAGAACAACAGCCATTCAAATTAGTTGCAGCAAGTTAACATATCCCATATGTTGAACTTTAAATTTCTTGTACATGATTCTTCTTCCTTCGCATTTCTCAGGTAATAAAGGCCTCTATCCGTTAGGTGGTACGAGTCGTTATTACCAAGGCGTGTATTAGAACTTGTTTCTTAAGGTACGCAAAATCAGCTCGGTCTTGTTACTGATAGGAACAGTTTTCTCTTAACCAAAGTAAACATTTGTCACTCTATTTTTAGAATTTTCAGACCAGATCACAAGATTGCAATTGTTGCATTTGATTAGAAATCAATGCAAACAGAATAGCAAGAGAAAATAGCCCGAGTCCAATAAAAAAGGCTTTAGCACTAATGTTTGAGAGAAATTACCATGTTTAGGTAATCTTATGTATTTCTGGAACTCCGATTCCGCGGGCATCTCATATGGCATTTCTTCACGAGTTTCATGCCATGTAACCTATAAAAGAGTACATCTATTATTCCAGTAAAAAGATATTTATAAATAGATACATCTATTAAAATGAAAAAGGATCTCTAATAAACACAACAATCATACAGCTGGAAGATCAGATATAGCATCACGAAGAACAAGGGCTTCCTCAAGGTCACCGCGTGGTTGTCCTTCATCATAAGCAACAGTATTCCGCTGCAAGAAGGAAATCAAATGTAATAAATGCAGCATCAATATGAAAAGCCCGACTTACAGAAAGTAGAAAGAATGACACAAGTTCTCAGGTAATATAGGCAGTAAATGTAAAGGATACCTCAAATTCAGGTGAGGGCCAATATTTAACAATCATGTCATGCGAAGGAAGTGGAAATGGGGGCAATTTCTGAACAAGAGAAAGAATAGTTGAGATTACTTGAACATCGCATAGATGTAATCACCAACTATGGCCCAGTATATCAACATGAATTGAGAATTTTCTACCAAATCCAGTGTAAGATCTTTACTGTTCTTTTAGAGAAGAAATAACCTTTCCTTTAGAAATAACTATTCCTTTTATTCAGGGGCGGACCCACGTAGGTTCAAGGGGGTTCAATTGAACCCGCTTCGTAAATATTTTTTACAATTTTTATGTGGAAATTATTTTTCGAAGAAACAAACCGGTAAAAAAATACAGCAGTTGAACCCCCTCAATCAAAGTTGTGCCGTGGTCAGATGGTTCAAGCGGGGTCAACTCACCGAATGGTCGCGTGTTCGAACCCAAACTTCAGCACGTTTAGGTGTTTTTTCACTTTTACAAAATGCAGGCAGCTAATCTGGCCCTGCATCTCTATTTTCACATGCACTAAACTAGAAAATTTCATGTTTTCTCGTTATACATTTTATCTTCGTCTTCCCATAGTTTTGAAATTTCTATATGAAATTATTAATGTAACTTAGATCTTTTTTTTTTTGGGTTAACAGTTAGTGCAAGTCAAATTAAAAATAATAAATAAATAGATTTTAGTATTTTAATATAGATCAAACTTATGTTTGTTACAGTAAAATTTGTAAAAAAATTGAGTTCAATAAATTATTAAATTGTAAAGGTAGAAAAATATTTTGTTTAGGTTTTGTTAGAACCAAAATAAAGAGCACTAGGTAAACTTTGTTGTTTGTTAACTCAATTTCGCTTTTATTGCCGATTATTTTTTAGGACTTCTGTATATGTTTGAACCCGCTTGTATAAGAATCTGGGTTTGCCACTGCTTTTTTTCAGTAATTCTGATGACAGCAGGCTAATGTACCATTTTTTTAATATGTTTACTGAATATACTCACCTCACTCGGAAGTGCACCCCAAAAGAACACTCGCAATCGAAATTGTGGGAGACCATAACAACCAGCTGCCATAGTTCCCAATCTTGCTTGGTATCTCATATGTACCAAACGACTTAAAGCATATCTTCCAAGAGATGCTTTATCAAACCTCAATATGTCAGCCACATTTTCCATCAACACATATTTAGGCCGTAAGAATTCCACGACATCCATAAAAATAATAATTTGACGGTTTTTCTCATCAGACAATGGGTCGTCAACATTTCTGTGGCGATTGTATCCACTAATGCCCTGGCAAGGAGGACCCCCACATATCATATCAATATCACCCTGCAAATATAATTAATCAGGACGGGAAATTAAACAGGGATAATGATTCCAGTGCCATTTAGTGGTAATCATTGCAAATGCAATTGAGGAAGTAACTTACTGGTAGAGGCAAAATTTTCAATTGTTTCCCCCTTCTAACAAATTCTTTTATGCTGTCTTGGCAATTTCTGAGAAAAAAATAAGTGAATTGCACATGAAATTGAGGATGTGATGAAAATGCATAACAAAATGTTAAGATCTTCTGAATTTTCTTAACCTCAGAAACTCCTTTGTTTTCTTATTTCAACTTCTGGGAACATTCAGTGTGAAAATCAATTGGTCTGTTTCTTTATATTTCAAGCTGATAGTACTTCTAAGATTCTTCCAAAACCAAATATGATAAAGGAGAGTGTTAAGAGCTTGGATATTCAGAAAGAGAAACAGTGCTTCTAAATTAACTAACAAAATTTTTCGAGCAGCCAAAAAAGAAAGATACTAGTAAAGTATGGAAGAAACAATATTTAGCAAGAAACAATATTAAACAATATTGTTTAACAACATATAACATCATAGAACACAATAATACCAAGTTATTTCTGGTGACATCTGGCTTCTCAATCTAACTATGTTGCAGGAATCTCCTTTCGCCTTATACAGATAGAGGATCAGAGAAGTTGAATCATTAAGTGACAAACTCGTGTTAGTGAGCAGCAGCAAGGACTGCTAGAATATGAACTTCAAATGAGGAACTTACTTGCGGAAATAGCATACACCCAATGTCATGTATGTTATCTTAGCATGACAAAGACAAAACATACGAATTTCCTCGGAGGACCGGTATGAATTCTCAAGTAACATAATGATGCTCCAGTATCTCATACCAGAAATTCACCGTGGTCATGGTGAAGCTTCAAAGAAATGAGGAAAGGGGCAGAGTACCACAGCAGTTGCTGTAGTCCCGCTGAGGTCACAGAGGACGTGTAAAAGGAGAGGGAGACCAACCACCACAGCGGCGGTGAAGAATCAAAATGAGGATCACCGCGGTCACAGTGGGCTTCGCGTAATACAAAAAAATTTAAGAGCTTTTGTGTCTACTTGCTATGTTTTGCACTGTACTACAAAAATCGAGCCCTTAAACGTTTTGGCCATTGAAAAACAAGACTATAATTCAAAGAGCTATTCTAGACGAGATTTAGAGACCAACTTCAAGAGATCTCTAAGATTTAAGGTATGACCTAACTCTAAATTCATGATTCCGCTTGAATTTCATTATGGATGCTGAAAATTTAATAAAATAAATAAATGTGTGCTTTCTCTGACAGCTTAAGATTCTTTGATGAGATGGTCATACAATTCAATATCGCTGCAGGCAAGCAAAGATACTGGGTTCAAGTTTTACCGGACCAATAATTTTTACGTGTTTGGCCCATAAAAGAATAAGACAAACCCACACGTGAGGTGACTTGTTGAAGACGTAATGAAATGAATAAAAGTGTGCTCTCTCTAAATCTGATATGTTCGCACAATTCAACAATGGGTTAATGGAAACCGTGTTTGCCATCCAAGTTCAAGATTGAGATATTGGATGAAAACTAATGATTAGGGTTCTAGCACGTATTTGAAACCCAATAGGTTGTATACCACATTTCTAGGTTTTTATCCCTAGGTGTTGGAGAATTTATTAGCATTGGTTGGAGTAGAGTCCTCGAAGAAACTATAGGCAAAGAGTTGGAGATAAATTAAAATAATAAATTATTTTTAATAAATTATTTGATTTTATGCATAGTTTATGAAAGTTTTGATGATTCAAGCTTTTCTTCATAATGGTGGTACCCCAGCCAGCTTGCATGAACCTCGACTAATTCGCGCAGGTACTTGCTACCTCCCACCATTACAGGTACCGGGTAACCATGTCCACCAAGGCTTAGCCATATTGGAAGAGATAATCGAGTGTTTTTGTTTTCACTGGAGTTTGAACTAGAGACCTCATGATTCTCTACCCACCCTTTGGTGCTTGATGATTCAAGCTTTTACAAGTACCTTGTGTGTGTTTTACAAGTTATGCATGTATGGGACAAGTTCCAAGTTCATCAGTATTCTTACTATTGCCCCATCACATGTTAAAGATTAGGCATGTCACCTTCTAATCTACCCAGCACTTCAGAAGTCTACTATAACTGTTTAAAGTAATTTTTTTGTAATAAAGATATAGATTATTCTTCAAAGACTTGTATCATTTCATGTCAAATAGTTCAGGCACAAATATAAAGAAATAGAAAGATTCCAACCTCCAGTGTAAGGAACTACTGCAAGTACTTTTTATCATCAGCTTTCTAAAGATATTGAGCATGCCTAATGTTGTCAAAGTGGTTACAAAGAAAGCTTTGATGTTGTCGTAAACATAAACAGGAAAACACATGTCTCCACTCGAATAGGTTTTACTTTTAGATGAGATAGTTACACAATTCAATATAGTGGCAGAGTAGGCAAAAGTTCTAGAACAAGTCTCATTGTCACCCATAGAAAAAATATTTTCATGTGCTTAGCCAAAAAAAAAAAAAAGAATAGGCTCATATGTGAAGGGCCATGTTTCAAACTTTAAAACAAACAAATAGAAGTGTTCCTTCTCCGACGGTTTAAGCTTATAGATTGTCATAGAATTCAACCAATTCTTATCAGCACCACCATAATCTAAAATATAGGTTACGATGAATATCTCGCAAAAGGAAGAAGATATATGGAGAGATAGCTAATAACTACCTTCACATATGCACAATCTCCGATATTGAAAGTGAAACCAGCAACCTTAGCTTGAGCATAATGGCATTCCACATTGAATATGATTTCATCTTCTTCACCAGCGCTACAATAATGAGAAAACATAACGTTAAGGAGTGAAAACGTGCTACAAGACCAAAAAAAGGTAGAAAAGGGCAACATTTTTACCACCGGAAAGGACAAGTTCATATAGTATCACTCACTTTAATTTCCAGCCTTGACGCTTCGTTTTTCGACCCTGCAATTGCCAATGTACATGTATATTCAGAAAGAGTAAAGTTTAATGACATGTTGCCAGACAAAGAACTAAGTTATTGCTTAGATATCCAAAATAGTTCAGCTAAATCACTGAGAACACAACGCAATAAATTATATTGGCAAATAAATAATAGTTAGCTTATAGGAGATTATAGAAGGTTCCGGTAATTATTCAGCTCCTTTGGCAAGTCCTAGAGCCAACTACTTATGCATCCTATAAAATCTTATCCATTGCACTGAAATTTCTACGCACGTCCTTCCTATAAAGAACCAGGATTGAGAAGTGTACATCTATTATTCCAGTAAAAAGATATTTCTAAATAGATACATCTATTAAAATGAAAAAGGATCTCTAATAAACACAACAATCATACAGCTGGAAGATCAGATATAGCATCACAAAGAACAAGGGCTTCCTCAAGGTCACCGTGTGGTTGTCCTTCATCATAAGCAACAGTATTCCGCTGCAAGAAGGAAATCAAATGTAATAAATGCAGCATCAATATGAAAAGCCCGGCTTACAGAAAGTAGAAAGAATGACACAAGTTCTCAGGTAATAAAGGCAGTAAATGTAAAGGATACCTCAAATTCAGGTGAGGGGCAATATTTAACAATCACGTCATGCGAAGGAAGTGGAAATGGGGGCAATTTCTGAACAAGAGAAAGAATAATTGAGATTACTTGAACATCGCATAGATGTAATCACCAACTATGGCCCAGTATATCAACATGAATTGAGAATTTTCTATCAAATCCAGTCCTTTGAGGTATGAATTCGTCGGAAACAATACGGATGAAAGCAAACTGATGTATCCATTCAATTCAATTTACAGTATAGTACGAAGAAACATCACTTCAATTCAATAAAGCTGAGAAAACAGAAATGAACAATAGCAGGCGTCCTACTAAACAAGTGCCTTCAATTCAATGGAGTATCCCTACTTAGACTCTATCTAATAACCTAAGCTGTCCAAACAAAATTAAAACCAAAATTATTAGGGAATAGCAATGTCATCCGAAGTCTTCTTCAGCAACTGTCTATCCAAGATGAATGTCATGACCGGCGACCTAAGACAAACAATATCAGTTAGCAAAGAACGGGAGGAAAAAAAATAGCAAAGCAGTGACAATAGGAAACAAGATACCTACTAACATATCATTTGAATGGCCACTATGCAGCTAGCAATTGTAGACACCATAGATCGGAAAATGGAGTCAGCCCCAAAATTCTTGTATTTGACTAAGGCAATTCAGCCAACAAGATAAGCCTGCTTTTGTCTACAAATTCGAATTCTCCCAAAAGTGCAGAACATCTCACCCGGCCAATACTTAAAGCAAGAATGAATCCAATTGCATCTATAACGATCACAATATACAACAAAAAATTTAGTCTTGCACGTCAAGATCTTTGAGGTAAACAAGAATCCCACGCCCCCATTTATACTAAAAAGGAATAGTATAACACCGACAACAAATTTGATCACATCATCCAGTTTCTTTCTGAGTTTTCTGTCGTCTTCTCGCATATCTTTGCATGTGTCCTTCAAAATTTGGAAAGTCGCTTTATCTTGGGACGTCTCTATGTAATCTTGCAGATTTCTAGGTGACGCCACATCTCGAGAAGCAATATCGGCCGGTAGTCCAAGATTTAGATGGGCAGGGGATGACCATGGAAGTATCGACGGAGTTTGAGAATTGTACCCGAGAAAAGGATTCTGCTGTTGACGAGCACGACGGGTTGACAGCCTTGGGCTATGAGGGCGGCTGAAAAAATTTGCGATTCTGTGCCAGGTGTGGCTGAGACGTTGACTGAGAGAGCGATTGCGTTGATTAGGACTCATTGTTGAGAGATTAGGTTCCGCGGACATTTAGGAAGTTGAGTAAGATTAATATAGAGAAATAATATTAAAAAAATGTATTATAACGGTGGATATTGTTCCGCTTCTATTATTATTATTACAGGGGTCCTTAACCGGGACGATCCGGTTTACTTTCTTATAGGGGCCAGTTCGAATTTGATCCGTTAATCAAAATATGTTGATCCGATCTGGACCCGTAACTTGTAACCCCTTAATCCGGACCCTATTGGGCCGAATTTAATTTAATTAAAAAAGTTTAAAACTAATAAATGATAATAATTTCAAACTTTATACATATATACGAACTTAAAATTACTACATGTCCTGGAAGCCAATTGGAATAAAAATGAAAGAAAAACCATACTTTATTAACATTAAAACTTAAGAAATATATGGAATTCGAATATTTCTATAACTAATAGTCTAAAATATATAGAATTCGCCTATTTCGACAAGACGCCTCATAGTGTGTGGTACTATATTCTTTATTCAATGTTTGAATTCAATTTTTTACCACTTGTCTAAATATATATGTGAGCTGGTCTGCGCTGGTTGACCCGTGGATCAGCTACCGGTTCGGGTCCGGTCCGGTTCAGTGGGTCAAAATATTATTGCTCGGCCCAACCCTTTAAATTAATGAGTTGGTTCGATTAGGATTTTGTGGGTCATAGGCCGGTTAAAGGGTCAATTTTAATAGGTTATGTGGGCTGGTGCGTGGGTCGACCGGCCCATTTGACATGTCTAATTATTATACAACAACAACAACATACCCAGTAAAATGTCACTAGTGGGGTCTGGGGAGGGTAGGATGTACGCAGAACTTACCCCTACCCCGGAAGGTTAGAGAGGTTTTTCCGGGAGACCCTTGGCTCAACAGAAGTGTCAATAAAATCAGAAAAGAAACGAAGGAAGGAAAAGATCTGTAACAACAAAATAAGCAAAAGAAGTAATAATATCATCTTAAGAGACACCAAATAAGTGAAAGGGAGTGCAATAATACAATCATATGCAAAACAACAAAATAGTGTGAACACAACATAAACCGCTAACAAACATAGGCAAAACTCTATCAGACTACCCGGTATAAAGAGGAGAAAACTACGAACTACCCCCTAGCCTACAACCTTAATGATCGACCTCCACACATTCCTATTAAGAGACATGTCCTCGAAAATCTGAAGTCGCGTCGTGTGTTGCCTGATCACCTCACCCCAATTCTTCTTAGGCTGGCCTCTACCTCTTCTCGTGCCTGCCAAAGCCAACCGCTCGCACCTCCTAACCGGGGAATCTATTGTTCTCCTCCGCACGTGCCCAAATTTCCTAAGCCTCGCTTCCCGCATCTTGTCGTCCACGGGAGCAACGCCCATCCTCTCTCGAATATCTTCATTCCTTACCTTATCTAGTTTAGTATGCCCGCACATCCATCTCAATATCTTCATCTCGGCTACTTTCATCTTCTGGATATGTGTATTCTTAATTGGCCAACACTCAGCCCCATATAACATAACCAGCCTAACCACCGCCCTGTAGAACTTACCTTTGAGTTTCGGTAAAATATAAAATCGATTCTAAAGAAAACGTATCCCCCTTGCCTGTCTTTGGCTTGGTTAAAGGCATAGTAGCACAAAATGATAATCAAGTTTGTGTAAGGAATGATGCTTTCTCTGAAGGTGCACGTTAAGCATAGTTAGCTAATGTACGCACGACTACGATGGCTCGACGGAAATCACAAACAATTGCATCGCCTACAATATCGGAGGCGGATCAAAGAGGTAGATTGGTAACACCGGAATCAGGGTTACCACAAATGATAGGCCAAATGCAACTAGTTCACTAGATGACTGGAATGGGAAGTGCACCAACCGCCATGCAAGCTTCAAATTGTGTTGAAATAGAGAAGCCCTGTGACGACCCGGTCGGTCGTTCCGAGAGTTATAGCCCCGTTTCTCCCATTTCTGCTTCTTTAGGTGCTATTCGGCTATATTGTATGGTGTCGGGTTGGTTGGCTCGGGTCCGGAGTGGCTTTGGAGTGAAATGAGACACTTAGTCTCTTATTAGGAAGCTTAAGTTGGAAAAATCAACCGGATGTTGACTAATGAGTAAACGATATCATATTTGGATTTTTATGGTCCGGTTAGCTCCGTTAGGTGATTTTGGACTTAGGAGTGCATCCGAAATGTAATTTGGAGGTCCGTGGTAGAATTAGGCTTGAATTGGCGAGTTAGAAATTTGGCGATTTTGGTCGGCAGTGGAAAATTAGATATCGGGGTCGGAATAAAATTCCGGAAGTTGGAGTAGGTTCGTAGTGTCATTTGGGACGTGTGTGCAAAATTTGAGGTTATTCGGACAAGGTTTGGTAGGTTTCGGCGTCATTGGCGGAATTTGGAAGTTTAGAAGTTCTTAGGCATCCGAGGTTGATTTGGTGTTGTTTTGAGTGTTCCAAGAGTTTGACTAAGTTCGTATAGTGGTATAGGACTGGTTGGTATCATTGGTTGAGGTCCCGAGGGCCTCGGGTGAGTTAACGGATTGAATATTTGAGTGGAAATGCTGTTTTTTTTGGTGTCTTGAACTGTTGGTGTTTTTCCGCACCTGCGGATGGGGAGCCACAGGTGCTGAGAGAGGGTCGCAGATGCGGAAGGGGCAGGCTAGAGCTTTAGCGCAGGTGCGCAGGTGCGCAGGTGCGCAGGTGATGGCTGCACCTGCGAGCCCGCAGGTGCGAGGCCTGGCCGCAGGTGTGGAAGCTGGACGGATTAGTGAGTTTCGCAGATGCAGTTGTTTGGACCGCATGTGCAGTCGCGCAGGTGCGAGTTTGGGGCCGCATGTGCGAGATGCCTGGGCAGAAGGTATATAATCCACACTTCGCAAATTTTAGCCCATTCTTCACCATTGTTAGTCGGTTTTTGAGCTTTGGACAGTGATTTTGGAGAGGAATTCGAGGGCTATCAGTGAGGTAAGTCGCTTGAGCCCTAATACTCGCGTTTATGGTAATTTTCCACTGTTTAATCATGTAATTAGTGGGAATTTGGGGTGAAGTTGAAGGGTTAGGGATTGAGTTTTTGGAGAGTTTGAGGTGAGGATTTGAGGGACCAAACGGTGTTGGAATTTGATAAATTTGATATGGTTAGACTCGGGAGTGAATGAGCTTTCTAGTTTTGTAATTTTTGTCGGGATTTTGAGACGTGGGCCCAGGGGCCGGGTTTTCATCAATTTCGGGTTTTGGCTTAATTTTGTAGTTTTTCTTGTGGAATTCGTTTCTTTAGCATATGTTGATGGTATTGTACTAGTTGTGGATAGATTCAGAGCTTTTGGTGACCGAGTCGAGGGGCGAGAGCATTTCGGAGTAGGATTCTACGTTGTTAAGGTAAGTAACAGTTTTAACTCTGGTTTTGAAAGTATAAACCCGGAGAATTGATATCATGTGATTGTTTGGAGGTGACACCCACGCTAGGTGACAGGCGTGTGGATGTGCGCTGTGAGGGATTGAGACTTGATCCGTACCGTGAGGCTATGAGGCCTAATAGCTTTTATTTGTGTTTGTGCTTCCATGTCTGTTAGAACTTGACTGCCTTCATGTTAGAGATCATACTTAGGCTTTATTCATGCTCACAATAGTTATACTCAGTCATAGTAATTCTTGTACATATTTACCTCAGTCTCTATTATCTTTTGTTGATACACTGTAATAATTTAATTTGGACTGCTTTCCTTTATTGATTGGAAACTGTAAGGCTAGAGAGGTACATGACTGAGTGAAGCTGAGGGCCTGTTGTGAGGTATTGTACTTTAGCACGTGAGTTGTCTGTGCGGATCCAAACTGTTCTATAGCACGTGAGTTGTCCGTGAGGATCCAAATATGATATGATATCACGTGAATTGTCCTTGCAGCACGTGAGTTGTCTGTGCAGATTAGCGTTTGGGCTGTAGGAGCCCCTCCGGAGTCTGAACACCCCCTAGTGAGCGCAGATACCTATTGAGCGTGTGCATTGAGGGCTGAGGGATTGAGTGACAGTGCTGTGAGGTTTCATCTATTTTTGTTGTTGCTGCATTTATCTGCTAATTGCCTTGTAGTAGTTGAAAATTCATGAAAATTTACCTTTTACTCCTGTTTATTCTTAACTGTGAAAAGTTATTAAATGAATTGTTCTGCTTAGATCGTCACTACTACTCAATTCCTTAGTTATTTCTGTTACTTGGTGAGTCGGTTGTACTCGTACTATACCCTGCACTTCATGTGTAGATCCAGGTGTGTTTGAACGCGACGATTATTGAGTTCAGACCATCAGAGTTTTCGGAGACTGCAAGGTAGCTGCTAGCGTCTGCATGACCTTGTTACTCCTTCTATTTCTCTTTTTGGCTTGTATTGACAGTTAGACAATTGATGTATTAGTTTATGGATTTAGACGCTCATGACTTGGTGACACCCCAATGTTTGAGGCTCATTTTTCATTTTTCATTTTCAAATTCAAATTTAGTTTTGACTTTTATGGAAACTTCTAATATGGAAAATCTTTACTTAACTCTTATAATTCAATTGGTAGTATTTTTGGGATAAATAGGCTTGCCTAGTATCACGATAGGCGCCATCACGACAAGGTTTAGATTTGGGTCGTGACAAGTTAGTATCAGAGCCTAGGCTACATAGGTCTCACGAGTCATGAGCGGGTTAGTAATGTATTGCGGATCGGTACTGAGACGTCTGTGCTTATCTTCGAGAGGCTGCAGAACCCTTAGTAAAATTTCACATTTCTTGGATTCTTGTCGTGCGTTCTGTTTATCCTCGTAACTAAACATCTTTATTTTATTCTCTCACAAATGGTGAGGACTCGTGCTACCGGTCAGGAGGGACATCCACCAGTACCACCAGCTCGGGCGGCGGTAGAGGCCGTGGTAGAGGCAGAGACATCGCCAGCGCAGCAGCTGGGGCAGCACCTGCAGATCCCCCAGTTGTCCCAGATTAGGACCAGGTCCCCATGGTAGATGTTCCAGCAGGACCAGCTCAGG